TTTCTTTCCACTAATAGAAGGAGTACTATGCATGTCACAAACATCAGAATGTATAAATGCAAATAATTTGGATTTTCTTTCTACTTTAGGAAATGAGCTTCTTGTAATTTTAGTGACCATGCATGTCTTGCACATATCATGATTTTCATCAATGTTGGGTATTAATACTAACTTGGCCATATCATGCATTCTTCTATTTTGAACATGACCTAATCTACTATGCCATAAATTAGACAAAATTGATTTACTATCATGAACGTTAAGCGAGGCATTAATATAAGTAGAACTAGTAATATTCTTATTGATATTGAGCTTGAACATGTTTTCACAAAAATATCCACTTCTCACATAATGTCCACCTTTTGTAAAGATGAACTTATCTACTTCAAATACTAATTTGAAGCCATACTTATTCAACAAGCCACCTAACACAAGATTCTTTCTAACTTCTGGTGCATAATATACATTGTTTAGCACAAGTATCTTTCTAGAAGTAAACATAAGTTCCACGGTGCCTTTTCCTTTCACTTGTATAGTGGAGGAATTTTCCATGTATAGCACGGTTTCATCATTAACTACTTCCAAAGTCTTGAAGAAACCCTTATTGTTGCATACATAATTAGTTGCACCAGTGTCAATACACCATGCTCCATCATTTTGAAGAAGATTGACCTCAAAAACAATAGCCACAAATTTGTTGCTATTCACACCTTGTGTCTTGTTTTTCAAAAGTCTACATTCTACTTTAAAGTGTCCATGTTTGTTACAACAAAAACATGGTCCTTTTTTGTTCTTTTTTATCTTATGACTCTTGTCATTCACACCCACGAAATATTTTCTTTTGTTGCGTGAGACCGGCTTGTTTAATGGTTTGTGTTCCATCCTATGGACTTTTGAAGTCTCAAGATTCTTTTTATTTTCATCTTGCTTGACTTATTCTTGTTTGCAATAATCTTCTTCTATTCGAAGATGATTGCCAAGGTCCTCGAGAGACATATCTTCCTTTTTATGTTTTAAAGTTTTATTGGTGTCTCTCCATGAAAAGGGAAGCTTATCAATTATCGATGATACCACAATAAGTTCATCCATTTTAAGATCATATTGCTTAAAGCTATTAAGAATGCGTTCAAGCTATGCAATTGTTCCATAACAGAATGATTATTAGCCATTTTGTAGTTTAGGGTTACAACTAACCATGAATTTTTTACTGCTTGCATCTTCAGCCTTGTATCTTGCTTCCAATTTATCCCAAAGTTGTTTTGCACTAGCTTCATTTTGGTACACATCGAACAATGCATCCGACATTCCGTTAAGAATGTGTCTCGTGCATATGTAGTCATCATTATCCCACTTTTGCCTCAAATGAGTTCTTTCCACGGCTTCTTCATCATCTTCTTCATTTGGTCGTGGTGTGTATAGAACATAAGCCACTTTAAGAGTTGTGAGGAAAAAATGCATCTTTTTCTGCCATCAAATAAAATTTCTTTCTTCAAAGCGATCTAACTTGACAATATTGGTAGCCATCTCTTTAAGTGAAGCCATTTTGAATACCACGAAAAATAAGTCTAAAAGCTGTTGGTGCAAATGGGGTTTTGAAGGTATTAAATAAATGGCAAAATCGACTTCAAGGCGAGCCTTTAAATAGACGTTATCTTTAAGACTTATTTTGCCCCCACCACTTGGTATGTAAAAAGGAATAATGCGAAAAGCTTTAAGGATACAATGAAGCCAACGTCTAAGTTCATCTTGCACTTAACGAGAGTAGACCGCTAGATACACCGGAGGGTTTGCAAAGTTGTTTGACTTTAGAACCTACTTTCTGCAGCAAGTAGACTATAAGGAATTTGAAAGCTTTTGTAGTTGATGGAAACTTAAGTGTTTGTGTTATTAGAACACAACACTTTCTTGCTCTCAATATTTTTACTCTTGCTTTTGTGTTTGCTTTCAATATTGATATATCAAAATGGTTGGCAACAAGTCCTTTATATACGCTTTTAGGTGTCTCTTCTTCAAGGACACAACCTTTTCATTAAGGCACCATTTTGTCTAAAAAGCATCTTTTCATTTTGCCAAACACAAATTTTATATATAGTTATTGTTTCAATAATCATTTTATGAAAAGATAACTTTTTATTTCATAAATTATAACCTTTGAGTTATAATTTGAAATAATAACTTTTCATATCTAACTTTTTAAGCTTTGGTGTCTTTTTAATATGTCTGATAACTTTTGAATATCATCTTTCAAAGAGGTATAACCATTCACATGAAAATCTGTCTATAATTTAATAAACACATTATGTCATTTTATGTGACATAACTCTTAAGCTAATATAACTTTTCATCATATGATAAAACTTTTAATTTTGAAAATACACCAACATATATATATTTAAATATATTAAAAAAACTCTATTAAATAATACACGCAACTCCGAATAGAAATCAAAAACAAGGAACGAAACTACGGGGCCAAAAGGCCAACAAAGATAAGATTATATAACTGAAAAATACAAGAAGCTGTCCCCGCTTAAAATGAAGGGATCCAGCTACGCTTTAACTGCAGTTCTCTTGAAAAGCTATTACACCTACCCATTTAATCAATGCCTGTACTGGACAATGCTAAGATCCCGCCAAAAGCCCTTTGTCAAAATCAGTATCACTACAGAAAAACACAGGTATGACCAAAGCTCACTCAAGAGTGCACGCCGTTGCAATAACTGTACATAGCATCTGTTATGATATTTGCAGGCTTTGTAGCATATCCATTTTGGTAAACTTTCTTGTTAGGGAGACAATTGACCTCTTGGCTCTCGAAGCCTTGTAAGACAGCATCTAACTGTCCACAAGCTGCTGCTATTAATCCTGCGTTTCACGCGGAAATTATGAGTAACACTTGAGAATGCAGGAGAGTGCATTTCTTCTCTCAGTTAAACTGATAAGCCTTGGAAAGCAAATATGGGAATGACAAAGAAAGTTACCTAAGAACAAAGCAGAAGGCTTTCCTGGTCTTGATTTAAATTCAGGATGGAATTGAACACCAATGTAGTATGGATGATCGGGTAATTCAATAATCTGCATGATAAATGTTCCAAACATTAATACAGAACCCACAGCTGCAAATTCACGCCCATGTCACAGCCACCCCCACAACACCAACACCTCCCCCCCCAACCCCCCCAAAAAAAAAAAAAAGAAAAACAGGAGATAACTTATGAGGTGTTTCTTGAGCAAAGAATACACACCTCCATGCGTCGACCAGTTTCATCCTTGCCAGTGAATGATAGGCCAGCATTTTCAAGGCGTGCTACCATATCAGGATTTACCTGCAAATATAGGCTTATTTATACTTCATTATCACAAGATTGCTTACACATCAAACATATCCATCTAAATACCACTTACCTCATATCTATGCCGATGTCTCTCATCTATGAACCTTCTTCCATACCTACGTGAAAGCAGAAGAAAAGGATTAGCTAATTGAACACGTATTCTTTCAGGAAGCTTTTTTCTTTCACATATGCACCTAATTATAATGTCAACAACTTTTTGGTCCTCCAAAAAAGGCAATATAAAATAATCACTCGGTCAATTTCATAATACCATACTTACCTCATAGGTTCCAACATTAAAAGGAAAAAGAATATTATTCACACATGAATACTTGCAAAAACACAAATAAATGCTTATTATCTCAGACAAAGTCCACAGTGCTAACAATTTCACAGATTTGCAGTCCATGACTTGGAAATATGTCCTCCTTGATCCAAGACGCATGGTACCACCCATATGTGTTTTTGAGCCCTGTTTAAATGGCAGAGACATTAAGATGTTTAGGAAATGACAAACTATTTCATTATATATATATGCTACAACTAGCAAACAGACATTACACCTCGGGCATAAATATAATGCAGGGATTCCTGGTGTTAGGATCAAACTCAGTGCTGTTAGCATCTTTCAATCCAATAACAGATCTTGCAAACTCAATGACAGCAATCTGCATTCCTAGACAAATTCCAAGAAAGGGAACTCCGTTTTCCCGTGCATACTTTGCTGCAAGAATTTTCCCTTCCACACCTCTGTCACCAAACCCTCCAGGTACGAGAACACCATCTGCACTCTGAAGATAGAAGCCAGTCAGCGGGCTACCAGAGACCATTCGAAGTGAAGTGCATTAACCAGTCAATCCAAGGCCATAAAAAGCTAAAAAAACGCGGACCTTTAACAACTTCCATGCAGCTTTATAAGCATCAAGATTCTGTAAAGGAAATGTTTTTGTCAAGAAGTGAAAAAAAGAAAAAGCAATACGCAATACATTACACGATAGGGAATTAATTTGACCTCCATTTCAGTCATATCTTCAAGGTCACTAGCAGGAACCCAGTCCACAACAAGTTTCTTGCGGCAGGCAACAGAGGCGTGCAACAGAGCCTGCACAAACAGCAAAACAGGTTTATATGTATTAGAGACAAATTTATTTCTAATCTTCTCCACCAACCCGTTTGTTCTTCATTAATTCTACCACTCTTGCTCAAAAAACCTTTGCTATGTTATTTCAAACCAGAAAGAAAAACAAAACTAACTTATCACCTCTACATGTGACACAAATTAGAGCAAAAAAGAAAAACAATTTCAACGAAAACAATCCTACAGGACAAACATAAATATTGTTCAGCTGAGACAAGGTAACAGAAGTTAATTGCACCTTCAGTACAGAGAGATAGGAATCAGAAAGGCCTGTGTACTTCCCAACAACAGCAATTCTGACCTGAATATTAATGAAATAAAAAGATAAGACTCTAGAGGGAATCAGAAAGTGTTCAAGATTGAAATTGACAATTAGTTTCAACGCACTGGCTCATGTAACATATCACAAATTTCAGCCCTTGTAGTCCACTCCTTTAAAGAAGGCTCCTTTGCAGTACTGCACAAAAAACACAATTGCCTTATCATGTAAAGTCAATGTTCAGAGGTTAATTATCCAGACCAAAAACAAAAGAGATAGAACTGATCGTATCACACACACCCTAGAAGATTAAGCACTTTGAAAATTGCCTCATGAGCCTTCTGGTCCTAATCAAGAATAAAAATCATATCCATTCATTAATTGTCAGAATTAGGAAGAATATCTAAAATTATTTTTCACAATGAAATCAAACCACTTACTCTCAGTAGTAAAGGGATGTGCCAGATGTTGGGAACATCATAAAGAGTGATAATTTCTTCTGCCTAGAAACAAGTATTTTCAATTAACTAAAATTTTCAACCAGGAAAATGAACATTCAACTGATGCACAAATAAGACCTTTCTCCTTCTAATCACCATACCGATACATGGCAAAATTGAGAGAGTTTCTCCTTCACATTTTCATCAAGTGCCTGTAAAAGGGAATCTGTACTCAGAACCTAAAGCTAACAGCACAAAGCATGTGTGCATTTATGTCTCAGAGGGCGACAGTGATAAAAAAAATCAAACCATTGTACTGCGACAAGCTAAGATATTTGGCGTCAAACCCAGGCCTCTCAGTCCTCGAACACTGTGCTGTGTGGGCTTTGTTTTCTGAACATGGTAGACATCATGTTAGAAGTGCTTTAGCCAATAGATTAATTTGTTCTAATATATATTCAAGGCACACAAAGAGAACCAATTATCTTCAACAAGGATGTGCCTAGCTAGAAGTTGCATTTGTAAGAAAGATTCTGCTTGCTTTCATTCCACAGATTATTCCTACTATTCATACACACTTGCCTGTTCCCCAACAACATTTATAACAGGCACCAGGCTCACATGAATCAGACAGAAGTTGCCAGAACCTGAACAAGAAGTAATGAGGAATAGTAACCAATTAAAACAAATCTAAAAGAGAAAGGGCGTTGATCGCATTTTTGTGCCATAAAATTGCATATAATATAGCCTTACCTACACGGTATGAGAACTGACCTAACGCCTCAATAAATGGCATGGATTCAATGTCTCCTGCATGCAAAGAAGTTGCTTTGAACATAAATGGAAACGACCTTATAACATGTTGCATGCATCAAAATTGTAGCTGTATGTGTACCTATTGTTCCACCTAATTCTATGACACAAACATCAGCTGGACCTTCCTTTCCATCAACTGGAATCATTGCCACACGCTCAATCCATTCTTGAATGGCATCTGTAACGTGAGGAACAACCTACATATTGCAAGAATATGCAGATGAAATGGCCTGAATGTAAGCCTATCGTTAAACAACAGCATATATTATATTACTAGAGCCTAGCTTGAGCAGTGAAGAGAAACCTGAACAGTTTTTCCAAGATAATCTCCCCTTCTCTCCTTGTCAAGAACAAACTGCGGTGTAACGAGAAAAGGAAAAATTAACATGAGAATGCAGCTATTAGCAACTGCTAATATATATATATATATATATATATATATATATATTTGGCTATCAGATAAGAGGAAATACGAAGGAGAGAAACTTACTTGGTAAATCTTTCCAGTGGTGATGTTATTATCGCGGGTCAGTTTGACATCTAGAAAGCGCTCGTAATTTCCAAGGTCCAGGTCCACCTTTCAAGAGGGAAACGAAGAATTAGGCTGGCCGAAAAACATGGGATTATTAATCTAGCGCAAAAACATTTCATTTGATGTTAAAAGACGAAAATGTAGCGCCAATATCCATATTAAGCAGTTATCTCCATAAAATCATAGATGATCCCACTCAAATTGAAACTGCTAAATCCTTTTCTTAAGCGTCCCTCTGCAATAAAATCATTTTGGGAGTACAAAAGTAGAGTAGAGCAGAGAATCCTTACCTCACCACCATCGTCCAAGACGAAAACTTCCCCATGCTCAAAAGGGGACATCGTTCCAGCATCGCTATTTAAGTAAGGATCTGCATTGGGAAAGGAAAATAATGAACACTGTTTCTGGTAAGAAGAAAAATAGAAGAAGGAGAAAAGGAGTGTTAGGTAAAATTATAAATAAAATAAATTAATTTGAGTTGAACAAGTGTTTTCTTTCAGTAAAATTGGACAAAGTATAAACCCATCCATCCATTTTCTTTCCTTGTATCTATTTCTCTCGTACCAAACAAACAAACAAAGAAAAGGATGAAGAAACATATCATTTTCCATCCACCTTTTCCTTCCTTACTATTTCTCTTATAGCAAATAAGAAACGGTGGTGAGAAAGGGATTTGTTTCTTCGTATTTATTGAAAATGACATGGGCACCTGTAATCTAGGTAGAAGATGAAAGAACAATAACAATTAACAATTTGATGTAAGCCTCCGTAAAATCTAACAAATTAGCTGTGAGCGAAAACAGAGTGCCGTTGAACAGATTCATATCGGTATGTTTACAATACAAAAGTGCGAACAAAACACCAATAAGCTAGTAATAATAAGAAATAAAATAAAATACTTGAGAGAAGAAAGCAGAGCAGTGTAGAAAATTTATCAAGACGCAAGGGTCTTCTGAAATAACTTACAAGCACAGAAAATCTAAAAGAGGAAGAAGAAGAAGAAGAAGAAAAAGAGAGAAAGGAAAGGGAAGAGCAGAGACCAATCTTGATAGAAGTAACGCGAAGTCCACAAGCTTTGAGCAGTAACCCGATGCTGCTCGCTGTCACTCCTTTGCCGAGTCCACTTACTACTCCGCCAGTCACCAAGACGTACTTCATTTTCTTCATTCCTCTTCTCCTTTACTCTTTGGCCTTCTCCTAATAAAATAAAATCGTTTAACAAACACCTATCCACAATTCAAAACAACAAAGCATAACAGAACAGAAAGTATAACGTATCTTTTTTGTCTTTGCGATGAATAAAAGTAGTATTCATATCCTTAAACGCATAAGGATAAAAGGCAGGTAGAAAGATGAAGAATGAGTGATTTACCTTATTAAACCTTTCTTATCGCCAACTGGAAATCAGATGCATAAAAAGAGCACGATGGCCATGGTCAAAGCCGGAGTCTTTGCTGATATGTGTATGTACGCTCTGCCTTATTTGTACTATGTAAGAGATGGCATAGCATCGACACATAAACAAAAACAAAAGAAAATTTTGTGATGCGGAAAGAGACAGGGATGCTTAACCCATCACTAACAGAAATACTGAAGAAACGGGATGAGAGAATTGGAATTGAGACAACAAGAGAATATAAGTAGAAGGAATGAGATTGGCTAACGCCATTGCCATAGTTAGCCTTTTATACACAGCGTACCCCCCTCGCCCTTCACCATGTCTAGTACCGAGAGGGTCCAATAACGACAAGCAAATAAGAACCAACCCCTTTAATAAATTTTTTTATTAAAATATTTTACCCGAAAATAAACAAAGAATTTTCTAACAAAAAATTTGGTATTAAGTGATAATATACATTTAATGTGTCTGAATTATTAATTATAGTAGTTAATGCTAAATTATTAGTATAAATAGTTCTGCTAAGGAGTGCCCTTAGGGCGTTAGAAGAAATGTATTTAATATGAGGCACATTGGTTAGCAAAACATTTTTGTTTATTACTATGTATTACACAAACAGTGTGTGCACAGAGAAGAGGTAGGGCGCCGCTCCGAGAACTGTATTGCTATTACGTACTCAAAAATTTTTTTCCCCTTTCCCAGCTAGTAGCGTCATAATAAATTAGCATATTTTTATGATTTCATTTCAGTCCTACATCCCATTGAATCTTTTGTTTTATTTTTTATTACATAATCTTATCTCCCTTTCCTGAAAAATCTGAATATTTGATATTAATGGAGCATCAAATATTTAAAATTTACTTGTTGAAATATCTTGTCTGGGACGATTATTGGAATATTAACAACCCTAACTAATGCTTGCTCTACAATATTTGACCGTGGCATTCCCAAATACATATGTTCAAGTAATAATTTTTCAAATTATCTTTTTGTAAAAAGAAACAAAAAAGGAGAAACAGGGACAGGAAACCATTTAGTCCCAGACCCGGCTGCCCTAATTAACGCTCTGCGTGAACCGGCTGCCCTAATTCTACCCTCACTGCCTTAGCCTAGCGAGCTTCAACATGTTTGCCATTTTCTGTCTTAGCAATATATATATATATATATATATATATATATATGTAGTACGTTGGAATTCAAGTCTTGCTTTTTTTTTTCGGATGAAAATTAAGAATTCAACTAATGGTCAGGTCATGCTAAACGCAACGTGGTCTTTGCTGTGGGGAGGAAGGAAAGGATATTCCAAATAAGAGTTGTAGATAAGGAGTTTTTTGTCCCAGTCCAAACCCACTTTCCGAAAGTAATAGTTAAAGCGAGATTGAGAAAACTAGAAAGACAAGAGCAATCTGGGTCAAAAGTCAAACCTCAATAAAGGATAAAGTTCAAAGTATACAAAAATGAAAACTCCCATAAAGGATAAACCAAGCAACCGAAAAGGAGAAGCAAGTAGAATCCTTTTATTTCAAGAAATCCACCTAACGACCAACCAACCTCCAACGGATCCATCAATGACTCGCACAGAGGCATCCACCTCGATAGTCGTTACACACCGGAGAGCAAAGGGACAATGACGAATTTGGCACAGAATTGTTAGTTATATTACATAGAATAAATAAGGAAAAGAGAACCAAAGATTTACGAGCCATGTATGTATGGATGTATATTTGTGTGCATGTCACACGCATGTGTCTTACATCCAGTTGGTAACCCTCAACATAAAAAAAAAGGCAAGACTAGCCCATTAGGATGAAGGGCCCCATTACAAACCACCCACGAGATCTCTTTTTAGTCAAAACGAGCTGTTTGGATAATAGCATACATACAATGAATTTGCGCTTTTGTTTTTCAACATTCATTTGCTCTCTCTTTGTTGCTATTAGGCGACTATATATGACAAAGGTTCTCTCACTAGATCATGCACATCATGTCATGTCGCAATAAACATGTGAAGGATGCATGTCATTTGCATTTCCACATAATCAAGTAGCAAGCGCAACCAAGAATAAATATATAATTAAATAAGCGGGCAGAGCGGTCGCTCTCGCGTAGACAAGGTATAGAAACTGAAATTGCCACGTTGATTGTGGGTCAATTCCTCGATTTGCTTAATTTCTTTTCGTTTCTTCATGGTGCCGACAACCTTCCGGGATTGGCTCCTCCGGAAGGGCGGGGAGCTCAAAGAAATGGTTGCGTAGCTCATTCTCCTGCACCTCATGATCAGGCCAAGATTTACGTGACACAAGTAATGAACAGGCAGACAGAAAGATGTTTGATTCTTTTTCTCATTTTTGTGTTGTAAGTCTTTTTAGTTACCCTATTCAAAAAATAAAAAAGTCTTTTTAGTTACCTCCTACATAAGATGTGCGTGCTTGCAGCATATTGCATACAGTGATCCACGACAAGTACTAAAACTTTGGATAAGAAGACACTTCATGCATGCTGCATTCCGTTTAATGCTCCTGAGAGCAAGTAGCTTGAAAAATGAATTAAAATGAAAATAAAAATATAATTTATAGTTAAGGCTTATGTATTTATTTATAAGGTTCATTGTCAACAAAAAGAAACAGGTGAACGTGCAGCCGTGGACGAGACACGGATTGAAACATTTCCTTCCATCTTGTTTGTGCGTGGCAACTGTGGAATGGATCAAATTAGATGAATAAGCTTCGACTCCAGGTAAGGGACTTCATAATCCAACAGAAAACTTTTGATTATTATATATCCATAGGGTAGGATAGGATTAGGATAAACCTATGTAATTTAAATATAATATAGTATTAGATTTTAGACGTTTCATTAGTCAACAACATCACATGACCGACTTTGCTGATTTCACTTTCATTTCCGCGCCTTTGCTTTTCCCATTTTTTATACTTCCCTCTGGCAATGCTATGCCTTCTGCATTACTAGTGTAACTTAATTGTCAGAGCTCAATGCTTAAAGATCTAAAGCTTAACTCTTCAAATGGTTACACTTATTTATTAAGCTAAATACTTATTTCAAGATTTAATATTTATCAAAAAAAATTTTCTTTCAATTAGATGTAATTTGTTTCAATTCTACTTATTAAAAAAACATTTATGAAAGAAAATTTAATGATTATCCTTAATAAACTTTTTGAATGGAAACTAAATTGTAATCATTAATTTTTTCTTCTCAACTTTTTTAAATGGGTAGTACTTGAGTATTTAATTAATTTGTTGGTACATAATCCTTTGTTTAAAAAACAAAATTCGAATCATCTTTTCCTCAATTATAAAAAAAATAAATTTTAAAATATTATATTATAATTTGAAAAAACAAAGTTACACACTAAAATAAAGAATTTGATAGAGATTAAATTCCAAAATCAATATTTAACCTATTCACTAAAAACATTTATGCGTGCTTAGAGAGAAACATCTATTTATTTCTTTTAGAATATTCAATCCAAGAAAGTCTAAGGAAAGGATTTAAAATTCAATTCTTGACAGAAAAATATCACTCAAGGAAATCTGAATTGACTTGTTCTTTATGATCTCTGTCCATCTAATGACTTTTAAGCATAACTTACCAATAGAAAGGAAAAGGAAAGGAATCAACCAAAAGAATAACATTTTCTTACGTGGAGTGGTTGACTAAATTTCCCAGAGGTAGGATGGACAAAGTTCACACGCGTTGCTGAGTGCTTGCCTTTGTTGCACCGCATTGGTGTAATCGTCAGTGTCGATGTGGTTCACGAGCATGTTGGTCCTCTGGCTAGGTGTTGCCACTTCATCTCTACATGTCACCACATAAGCTCTAACCCTACTGCTCAACTTCCTTGGAACCTCAAAATTCTTTTGTTTTAGTCTTATACTTAGTTCATTATTCAACTAAATACTTGTATGCAAATTTGCAACTTACTTTGTGTGTTTTTGGATCCGCATTAAGAATTATGATAGTTAAAGCATGTGGTCCAACATAGAGGTATCCACAAGCCGGCCTAGACTCATGGTTGGTCCAAGTAACTAAACTCGTCTCGTATGATTTTTATTTTATTTTTTAAATTTTAAAAAAATTAAACTAAATATTCTTTTAAACAAAGCAATGTAAAAAAATTTTTGCACGTTATTTAACCAAATTGACATAAGAGGTAGTTGAGTTGTCTTTTTGCTGGTTTATTCATCACAGAAAGCAAAATATTCATGCTTGTTATTTAAGTTGAATTATAATGAATCGGTATTTTCTAGGGGCTTAGGCTAAGCTACCATGCTTGATATTTGATATTTACTATTGAGTGTACAAAAAGCAAACTATTCAAGCACGGTGGCTTAGCCTTTCTAGACCTGCAATTAAAAAATAAGGTTTTATTAAATAAATAGATTTGAAGGTCTGAGAATGAATCTAATCATTTTTGTAAAACGATAATTGTAGATAAATGTGGGTTAGAAGATATGGGACTACTTTTAGAAAGTGGACTCGTGAGGAGAACATATATTTATATGTGCATTTTAAGCCCCTTGGTTGCAAATAGTAACTTTCACACTCACACATGTATAGGGATTGGGCTTGGAATTAGTAATGGTAGTATAATAGCTTTCTAGAGCGAAATGCGAATTGAAGGTGTGACTTTTAAAGTAGTTGGCTCTTAAAACTTTTGCATTGGCCACAAATAAGACAGGGAGGGTCAAGGAATTTGGTATGTAATTGGATAAACGATTATTGGTAGTGGAAGATTGAGTTGAGGCGAAATGTCTTGGATTGGGAAAATGATCACTTGGATAATTTGCATAACCTATTAGCCACAATCTTACTTCAAAAAGGCATGGAAGATAAACTTGTTTAGAAACGATCTATTAGTGGGAACTACTTTGCTAAATCATTATGTAAAAACATTCTTGGGAAACAAAGAGGTAGTACATCACTATGGAAACATAAGTGGGCGAGTTTCGCTCCGTCAAATGTGGATGTGTTCTATTGACAATTAGTGCGAAAAGAGTTGCAGCGAAAGAGCAGTTAGTAAAGAAAGGAATGTTGAAAGAGACTTTTCAATTTGCTTTCTTTGCAAGAAAGAAAATGAAACAATCAAGTACATGTTTTTTTTTTATTGTTATGTGGATGATGTGGTGTAATAGTTGGGAAATAACAAAAGTTACACCAAGAGAAGCGATTGATGTTCTAGTAGCGTGGAATAACATGGTATCAAGCCAAAATCTATTGGCATGTGAAAAATGGTGTCTGTTGTAATTATTTG